TATTTCTGCTAGAAGTTAACCTATCCAATATTGGATATTTAAGCACACATATATATCACTAATACTTTAGGTGTTGGTATCCACTCCTGGTTCTAGCAACTGGATTGCTTTTTGATTTCTATTTTATGCCTTTATGTTTGTTTATTTGTAAAGAGCTTTGAGTTTCACAGGGAGAAAAGCACTATAAAAGTCGCAAATTATTATTGCAACGGACCACCTGACACCCCGACTGGGCATCTCCATCAATGGATGCTACCTAGTGGACGCTGAGGACTATAAGCACCGCACCGGACACCATCAGCACCGCAGACTTAGACCCTGATAGCCCTGATCTGTGTGAACAACATATCCAAAAATCACCCAGATCAGATCAGGGTTCAGAAATTTTATGGAAGTCATATTTTTGCCCAGACAAACCCAGGATTCCATGCACTAAACAGTTCCATAGATTTGCAGCTAAGGGCCGCTGGAGAACCGACCGGGAACCGCAAGGTTTTCATGCCGAAAATAGTTCCAGGGCATTCGCGGCTAAGTCCCTCTGAAGTCTATTCGCGGTTTTAGTCCATGCGAACAAGATGGCCGCCACCACTTGTTCGAATGGCGGCCACTTCGACTGTTCAGGAGTTCAAAGAACTAATGTTTAAAGTGCCAATAGGCACAATTAGGGTCTCTCAGCCAAAATAAATTAAAGGGGCCATAGTCACAGGGTAAAAGGCTGGCAAGTAGTCCCCTCCAAAACGCAGTGGCGAAATGGCTTTCATCACAATTATTATAATATTATTATTATATACAAAACTCCAAGATTCCCACCTCCCCATCCTCTGAACCACCTGCGCCAGCATACCCAGCCTAGAAGCCTCCGTGGTAGCGCCAATCCCCAGGACATCCAGGCCCGAGCAAAAGATCCAAATAAATTGGAAATGAGAAAGAAAGCTCCCATCCGCATGAACCAAAAGAGGGCCTGTGGATACCAGGCTCAACTCACAGTACTCCCTAAAAGAAGAAACGGGCCAAATA